CCCGAATTATTCTTTCCAGATTGAAATACAGGCAGGATGCGGGACCAATTGAAGCAGTTTTTTTACAGGTTACATATCACATGTACTGCTGTCTGGGCATAGGGACAGTTTTAGCCAATATGAAAAAAAAGTGATTTTTAAAAACTTACAGACTTCAGCTTTAATATTTATTATCTTAGTGTTTATTACAGACACAGATGAAAAGGCACTTAGACGTTCTTGGAATATTTCTCTCCTCTTTCCTCCTTTTCCATCCGTCCAGTTGGGATGCGTGTTTCTGTGTGTTTCTTGTATTGCCCCCAAAAAAAATATATATATCTTTTTTTAAATTTTTTTTATTTAGATTACGTTCAGGATTTTTATAGCATTTTAAAGCAGTTTTTGAGACTGTTATTAAGCTTAAGTGGGTCTAATGGACGAAAATGATTTTATAGAGAAAGAGTTAAAATAATCTTTTCTATACCTTTCTTTAAATAAAGACATCTATAGATACTGCCTCAGCCTCAGTTTAGTTTAATTTTTTTTTCATGGATTAATCAAAATGGAGAAGCTAGAGGCTAAAGAAAAGTAAATTAGAATAGAAATATCCCTTTATTGTCCCACAATTAGGAAATTCTGGGTTGTTTTAAAACTATTTAATTTAGCTGTTATCTGTAGGTTTTATTGGTCTATATTTTTAAGATGCAAGCAGGGTGTAAGAAAACAATAGAATGAACAAGCCACTGATTTCTTTTTATAGTACCAGCAAGAATGTGAAGCTGTTTCAATCACTCCTCTTTGTTTCATCCATTAAGGAAAATCATTTCTCTCCAAAGGCTTTTTCATTATCTCTGGTTCTGATATTTACGGGTTAAATCACATGATGTTTGTAGATGTTTATATACAGCAGACTGTACATATTGCACTATTTACTTTCAAACCAAGAACCAGATGCTCAAAACAAAACAAAAAAAAAACACTTAAATTCTCAGAGATTTTCCTTGTAGGATGTGGGCTCAGCCCCCAGTGTTCCCACCTCCAGGATACTTTTCAATGTTTTTGAGCCTCTCTGCTCTTCTTTCCTTCCCTCCCTGCAGAGCCCAGAGATCAGCTTTCACACCCTGTATTTCTTTGTTTAATGTCTTCCTGCATGTTTCAAAGGTCCTAAAGTCAGCAAAGGAGCAGCTGTGTGATGTTATATAGATCATTTTAACATCATATAACAGCTATGAGGCTAGAATCTTATCAACTTTATCCTTATTTTCTTATATTTAAATGTATTTCATGTATCTATAAGTGTTGTGCCTGAACGCGTTCATTGAACGAAAGTTCATGAACTCGTTCATATTTTGGG